ACAACACACACAATATATTGAGAGTTAAAATTTATTTGTTATTATTTTATAAAAAAATGATCATGCTTAAAATAAAATCATAAAAACCGTGTTTTAAAACTTTATACAAAGTTAAATTTAACGATTTTTCATCAAAATTTTTTAATCAGATGTAAAAAAAAAATAAACAAAAGTGTAAGTCACTTTGAAATGGGGGTGCTATTGATATGACTGATACTGTACATACGTAAATATATCACTGAGCACCCGAAATGTGTACCCCTGAACCCTGACCCTCTGGAAATTAGCAAATTGTGGCAAGCATCTTCGCGCACTCAGCTACAGCCAGACATGTAAATGTGCATTTAAATGTTGAGTTTGAATCAACACCACGCGTGCGTTTTATGGAAGTAACGGGTGATTTTTTTGAGGTTAGGATTTTCATGCATTAGTATTTGACAGATCACGTGGGATTTCAGACATGGTGTCAAAGAGAAAGATGCTCAGTATGCTTTGAAATTTCATCATGAATAGACTTACTAACGAGCAACGCTTGCAAATCATTGAATTTTATTACCAAAATCAGTGTTCGGTTCGAAATGTGTTTCGCGCTTTACGTCCGATTTATGGTCTACATAATCGACCAAGTGAGCAAACAATTAATGCGATTGTGACCAAGTTTCGCACTCAGTTTACTTTATTGGACATTAAACCAACCACACGAATGCGTACAGTGCGTACAGAAGAGAATATTGCGTCTGTTTCTGAGAGTGTTGCTGAAGACCGTGAAATGTCGATTCGTCGCCGTTCGCAGCAATTGGGTTTGTGTTATTCGACCACATGGAAGATTTTACGCAAAGATCTTGGTGTAAAACCGTATAAAATACAGCTCGTGCAAGAACTGAAGCCGAACGATCTGCCACAACGTCGAATTTTCAGTGAATGGGCCCTAGAAAAGTTGGCAGAAAATCCGCTTTTTTATCGACAAATTTTGTTCAGCGATGAGGCTCATTTCTGGTTGAATGGCTTCGTAAATAAGCAAAATTGCCGCATTTGGAGTGAAGAGCAACCAGAAGCCGTTCAAGAACTGCCCATGCATCCCGAAAAATGCACTGTTTGGTGTGGTTTGTACGCTGGTGGAATCATTGGACAGTATTTTTTCAAAGATGCTGTTGGACGCAACGTTACGGTGAATGGCGATCGCTATCGTTCGATGCTAACAAACTTTTTGTTGCCAAAAATGGAAGAACTGAACTTGGTTGACATGTGGTTTCAACAAGATGGCGCTACATGCCACACAGCTCGCGATTCTATGGCCATTTTGAGGGAAAACTTCGGAGAACAATTCATCTCAAGAAATGGACCGGTAAGTTGGCCACCAAGATCATGCGATTTGACGCCTTTAGACTATTTTTTGTGGGGCTACGTCAAGTCTAAAGTCTACAGAAATAAGCCAGCAACTATTCCAGCTTTGGAAGACAACATTTCCGAAGAAATTCGGGCTATTCCGGCCGAAATGCTCGAAAAAGTTGCCCAAAATTGGACTTTCCGAATGGACCACCTAAGACGCAGCCGCGGTCAACATTTAAATGAAATTATCTTCAAAAAGTAAATGTCATGGACCAATCTAACGTTTCAAATAAAGAACCGATGAGATTTTGCAAATTTTATGCGTTTTTTTTAAAAAAAAAGTTATCAAGCTCTTAAAAAATCACCCGTTATTATTTTTAAATACGAACATTTTTAAACGATAATCAAATAGAAAATATTCCTGTTTACTATGCGTTATTTTCCTCAGTGAATTCATAACATTTTTCAGAATATTACAACGCGTTTTTTCTCTTTAGTGTAGTGATTTTTGAACTTTTATTCAAATTTGTGCAATCAAATCAAATACCGTGACACAAGAACGAAATCCGGGATATTTTAAGGTTGGACCGGGACACCGGGACAAACCGGGACGTCTGGCAGCCCTAACTATGCCTCATATTCCATAAACCATTTAAATTCAAATTCCTAACTACACTGCAAACTTGATAGAACTCTAAAAATTGTTTTCAAATTTCAAACCTTTTAATCAGAGATTTTTTTATAAATATATTGAGAATTCTGTTTTGTAGCCCATCAAATTTTAGTGTAGTAAAGTGTAATCTTGCATCTTAAACGAAATTATGTAAATAGGAGAATACCTTCAAGAGCGTGCGTAAAACGAGTTAAAAAAATCAGCGCGATTAATTACATTAAAATTTAATGGGCTATACATAGAACTGCGTATTTATAAACTCTGATTTAAAAGATTGAAGTTTTTATAGCAGTTTCTAGACACACAGAAACGTGAATTTATATGATTATGTTATAATATTTATGAGCAGGGAGCGGATTTTTGGACCTAAAAACCTTTTAAAAAGGCAAAATAAAACAACGAAATAGGCTAGAAAAAGCAAAATAAAATAGCGAAATGGCATAAAAAGGCACTAAAAATCGCAAAAAAGGCAAAAAAAGCACTAAAAATTACAAAAACCGAAAAATAATCAAAAAATACATTTGTTTTAGAAATGTTTATTTTACAAGTAAAAAGAGAAAAACTATGAACTAGTTTCATTATATGAAAAATTTGTACTTTGAATCTTTGACTATTTTCTCCTTTCGAGTTTTTAACTCACAAAACTTTAATCTCTATAGTTGTAGTAACATTGCACCACAAGTTGCCTTTTGAAGTCTTCTGGCAGCATTTACATTCGATTTTCGCGAAGAAAAAGCTTGAATATACTAAGCGTGCGTTCGACGTGAATTGATACAAGTGGCGCCCAATTTAAATATGGGACGTTTAAAACATTCATATTATCACGAATAAGGGCTTTTTCCTTGCCCTTTACAACTAAAGGCCAGTATGCAGCTCTCAAGAAAACGGATAAGAAAAAATGCCGTTATTTCGTGTGTGTGTCCAAGGAATTTTAATATATCTGATACTTCACATTCTAGATATCTTTCCGCAAGAAATAATGGAACAGCCATATATTTCTGTTGCAAACATGGGTTGCCTTGAGCCCTTTTTTTTACAAAAAAAAACTTTAGAAAACCGTACCAAAATGCGTAGCAAATTTCTTAAGAACTGCGTACTGGCGCATTCATAGACGAGTCCTCTAATTGCGGTAAACCAGTCCTCGAAAAGTGGTCAGATATCTAAGTCCCGCTTTCGGGTTTTGAAATGGAGAGTACCTTAGCCAACCCCGAGGGCCCAATACTTCGGTTCGATTCTGAAGAGGTCATCAGAGTTTATAGGGTGATCCGATGCGAGGACGAGTTTTCCAAGGAATTCCTGCGCTGGAGCAGTACTGAGATCAGAGATGTTCGGCTGGGCTTAAAGCTCAAACTTATCCCAGCGAAGGACATTCCGAAGAGACCCAGTGCCCGGAGCTGGTTGCCCAACATGAGGATGGAAAGGGCAAAGCTCCATAGCCGTAATGAACCTTCGAGTCCTTACGACGAACTGGAGTGTCCTGAAGTTTGAGGACATAAAAGCAATAAACCAACCCGTGCTGTTTCTCATCCCTGAGGAATCGAGGCTGCAGAATCCACTTCAACGTGAGACACGCCAAAGTAAAAATCTTCCGAGGCAAAGAACCCGACAACGAAGACGGGGAACCGCTACCGATATCAAGAACAGACGGGGAACCGTCCCCAGACCCTATATGTAGCGAGGCTAGGATGCAAATGGAGGTGGCCGAGGAAGCCAGTAGTCTGGTCGGCCCGTCAGTACCAATACATAATCAACAATGAGCAAGGTCGTACAGATTAATCTGAATCTGAGTTTATGAAAAGGCATTAATGAGTGGCAACACTGTAGTAAGCAACACTGAGGGCTCCAGTAATCGACAAAATTCTGTGTATACAGACTGCGTATAAGTATACGTTCTGCGTTCTTGACTAATTTCAGCTTTAGAGAGATTCTTGGCATGAACTTAAAACTGTGAAATCCATCAGAATGATTGTGCTGAAAACCTGCAACGCGTAACGACGCCACGGGAATATTTTTCACTTAAAAAAAACTGGAAACTGTGGTAATGGTCATTGTGTATAAGTTTTTTTTGGAATGGCTTAACAAAACGAATGGTAAAATTCAGGCTTCTGACGTAGATTTGATCACTGTTGACGATCGTTACAAGTTTTTTGTAGCTGAACAAAATAATTTTAAATATATCGAAGAAAAGGCGATGAAATTAAATATTTTGAAGCATTATACAAAAAAATGTATGATCTAACACCCGATGAAAAAACGTATGACTTTTGTATGTCGTTATCATTGATAGACTCCTATCTAAATTAAAAAAAAAAACGGCAACAGGCCTACAACAGGTTCAATGAAAGTTTTAATTTTGTACCAAAATGGGAGAATTTTTATCATCAACTCTTTCGGAAAAGGCCTTTTCCTTATAGGAAATGTATCCCAATTATTTAGAGACTGTACTAGTTCAAGAATGCATACACTTTGTCCTGAGAGAATTTTGTTAAAACCTTATTCCGTATATGTCTTTTCAGCTCCATTACGTATAGTCTTGTGCCACTGCACAATCGAGGTGCGTCCAGGTTAAGCATCAATATGACTGGCAACCCAACCTTTAATTGCAGTTTGTAGGACGGCACCTCTGAAAACTCTTAAGAGTTTCGAAACTATAGGATATGTTATTGCATCATCATTTGCCATCACTGTATCAACAGACATGTGCCTCACCAGGCACTTTGCCATGCGGCCCTCACCGGTCTCAAGGAGGTCTTGAGCAAAGAGCCCGGACTCTCTATAACTTGATGTTAGTCAATATTTCCACGTACTTATCTCCCTGCCGCAGTGCCACGCTCGATGACAGGTAGCGTCTGCCGAAAATCTCCTGCGAGCAATACGACTACCTACCCCATCAGCAAACGGCTGCCGCGGATAACTTGCAAACTTCGATCGTGTGCCTCGACCGCCTGCTTGTGTACGATGTCACACTTTTTCCCAAACTATTAATTTGCATTGTTACAACATAGCGCCGCAAGGTCGCTGATATCCCTGAGGAGGCAACAGCTAGTGCAACATTTTTATTCTTGCGCAACTGTGCCAGTACCAAATTCAGCAGAAATGTCTTGCCATTAGCTGTTGTGTCTAAGAAATAAAGGCCCATTATCCGCTATCCATGAGGCTCACAATTTTATGGGAGATTTGCCTTTGCTCGGGAAATAGTTTAGGTTCTGTTTCGGTGACTTACTTGACACCTGCATTTCAATATTTCATTTAACTTGTCGATTAAAATGAGCTTACATTTCTAAACTGGTGGAAACTCTCTTCAAAAATATTTCCGAAAGAAAGCCTTCTTAACCCTCTCTCGTTTGATACCCATATTAAAACATTTCGTTTAACTTCTTAATAGGTGGCAACACTCTTCCAAAATATTTTGAAATAAATTTGTCTTAGACCTTTCTCACTTGATACCCATGCTAAAGTATTTGATTTAAATTGTTAATTAAATGGAGTTTATGTTTATAAAAAGGTGGCAACTATCTTCATAAATATTTTTGATTTTTTTCGACAATGTGGGTGTTGTAATATTTCGTATAACTTAAGAAATAGTTGATTTGAACTTTTGAAAGTAGCAACCCCATTCATAAAAATATCCTGTATGTTAATCCAGGTCATAGCCTATATGTGCGCCAAATTTCATTGAGAAAGAGCAACAAATAAATGCACTTACTAACTCAAACTTTCACATTTATAATATTAGTAGGTTTGATTGAAACGGTTTTAAATTTCTAAACGGGTGGCAACTCCCAAAAGTGTTTTCGAAAGAAAGTTTTCTTAAACCTCTCTCGTTTGATACCCATATGAAAACATTTCTTTTAGCCTTTTAATTAAATTGTATTAAAATTTCTTAACGGGTGGCAACCCTCTTTAAAAATATTTAGAAATAAATTTGTTTTAAACCTTTCTCATTTGGTACCCATATTAAAATGTTTGATTTAAATTGTTAATTCAATTGACTTTAAGTTTATGAAAAGGTGGCAACTCTCTTCAAAAATATTTTTAAAATATATCGTTTTTAAACTGCTTTTGTTTGAAATTGTTGTAACAATTTATTTAACTTGATAAATAGTTGGTTTTAACTTTTTTTTTAAAGTGGTAACGCCCTTCAAGAAATATCCTACATGTTAATCATGGTCATAGCCTATAAATGAGCCAAATTTCATTAAAATACGTCCAGCCATTTTAACGTGAAAGTGCTACAAACAAACATACTCACTCACAAACTTTCACATTTATAATATTAGTAGGATGAGCAGGAAAGAATGTTACTCATACGCCATGTACGAGTATGTTTTTTTAAATACATATTTAAAGTATGACTTTTCGCAATGCAAAGTTAGAAAGAAAATATCTTGGGAAAATTACGTGAACTAGAAAAGCGGTATGGAGATTCGTAATCTACAACCCAAAATTAAGTTTACGTGTCTCGGCATTTTTTTTTTTCATTTTAGCTTTCCTACAGTGATATTTTTTGATCGAAAAAAAATCTTCCAACATTAGAATAAATGACGTATATTTAACTCAAAAATTATTTTATCTATTTATAAAACTAGTTATAAAACTTGCGTAATGTGATTACGAACGCATAAAAAAATTAATTTTTTTAAATAACAGATGAGATTATCGGTAATGAAAAAGCAGTTAGTAAAATTGTAAAGTTAAATCAACATCATTGTTATTTGGAAAGTTCTGAGTGGTAATGTTTTTATTCGATCAATTAATATGTATGTTTACGATTTTATAGTAATTCTACGAAAAATTTATTTTCTCCATAAGGTATGTCTGTTCAAATATCTTTGAACATGGGTATATCTGCCTAAGTAAGATAATAAATATAGGTAGTAAAAACATTTAAAAATATATGTATACACAGTACTCAAATAATCATTTATTTTGCCCTCGGCAATATGTTCAAACATCTTTGAACATGAGTACATACATATCTGCCAGGGTAATAAAATTTAACATAAAAAATACGTGCATATGTATGTACCTACTTAAGCTGAAATTAGTCAAGAACGTAAACCTACCGGTACGTAAACCCGAGTCAGCTGACACGATCTGTCTTACCAAAGCGCCATGTAAATGAAAACTCAACACCGCAGAATTTTTCTGTAGTTGTAGCCCGTAGCGCAGAAATCTGCGGAATTTAGATTTTTCCGTGTTAGCTGATTTCTCCTTCTTTAGATGGTTGCCACTTCGTCAGTTTTACAGATGGTAAAAAAGTTATAAGTTCCTATTCAAAATATGTTTAAAATATTTGAAATTTACTATTGAATAAGGTTTTTGTTGAAAACTAAGTATTTTATATTTAGCTAAAATCTATTATAGCACAAAAAATTGTAGTTGAAAGGGTAAGTTTATGAAAAGGCATTGATGAGTGGCAACAGTGTAGTAAGCAACACTGAGGGCTCCAGTAATCGACAAAATTCTGCGTATACAGACTGCGTTTAAGTATACGTTCTGCGTTCTCGACTAATTTCAGCTTTAGACAATAACATATACTCATCCATATGAACATGTATTTAGAAAAGGATCGTTTTGTCTGCACATGCAATGCAAGAAACAAAACATACTTATTTACATACAGAAAATATTTACGTATATGTATACAGTCCACTACTCTGTCAAATGTATGATAAGCAAAGCAATCGAAATTCTCTGCGATCTTGTTGCCTGAGGACGAAGATTGCTGCTTATCATAACATAAATTTAAAATCACATAAATTGTAATACATACTGAGATAAGAGATCAATGCGTTTATCTCTTGCATACAAATATATATACACACATACCTATGCATGCATTAGAAAATGCATTAGATAATAGGCTTTGCATGTATATAGCCGATGCACATGCAAGCAATAAAAATATAATTAGAAGACCAAGGCATTGGTTGGTAATCTTATGTAAATATACATACATACATGCACATGTACATATACACACACATACATATATAATTAGTTAAGGAAATAGAGTTAGAAAATTGTATATAAAAGAAAAATGTTGAATAAATTATTCAGATTCGTAAAGACTCTCAATAACACGCTTCTTTTCTTTCTTTTATATTTTATGCTTTACTTCCCCCCACCAGAGGTAAGGGGTAAAGCATCTAACTATCTGTCTTCTTCTTTCTTTATTAAGGTTTTACTTCCCCCCAACAGCGGTAAGGGGTAAAATTATTAATATTGAAAGTACTAACCTCTTATTTTATTAAACTCTACTTCCCCCCACCAGTGGTAAGGGGTAGAGAATTTTAAAATAAGAGTATTTGTAGTTCGCGCATTGCTGAGCGTTACTTGTTACCCCCCACCCGAGGTAAGGAACAAGTGACTCAGCTCTGCTACGAACAATGTCTAAGGCCCAAAGCCCCAAATTTTCAACGCTACAGCGGCACAGTTAAACGGGAACCGTTTGCAAACTAAAAAAATACGGGTCACTTTATGTATTTTAGATATTCTTCCGTTCTGGGGGTTGGCTGAAAAAAAAAATTGTGGGCCACCCTAATGCACCCTGTACGAAGTAACGTTAGCTTATACCTAACTTTAGTCTGTTTACGGGAACACTACTGCTAACTATTAACTGTATATTTTGTTCGAAAGAAGCTAACTATTTTTGTAGGGCTGCAAACTACTCAGACCTGGATATCTCTGCATTAAATTTCAAAAAAAAAAATCCACATGGTGCTTAAGAAGGACATGCTCAATGAGTATGTATATCAAATTTGGGGGAGAACGGTCAAGTAATTTTTGAGATACGCATTTATGATATAAGTGATCGGTGCCACGCCCATTTTCTTAAAATTTGATGAAAAATAAATTTTTTGCTAAGAGCCATTGTATATACAAATTTTGAGTAAATATTGATGAACTCCTTAGCCATACTGATCAAAAAATCTGCAGGCCCGGTACATAAACACTTATAAATTCAAGGCCGTATTTTTGCTTAAATTGCTTAACTTCGACAATGTTTTTGCAATTGCATTTGTTTGGAAATAACTGTTCTTTTAGACAAATACCACAGATTTGGCAACTTTCATAGAAATTTTTGAAATGAAGAAAAATAGGGGCTCATTAAAATTTAACCGAAGAAAACTTCCAACAGTTTAAGTCTAACCATATATTTCTTTTCAAAACTTGTTCGATTTCAAGCTATTCATAGATACATAAGTGCATCAAGAAAATTACGGGATTTCGGTATAAAAAAAATGGAGGGTGCAGGAAATATACGGGACATATTTTCATGTTGTACTCGACCACACTAGGTTTTGTTTCGGGTGTATTTTATTAGTTTGTTTTTGTAGTACCGTGTAATTTTTCGCTGCAGCGTAGTGACACATGTAATGTAGTACATACCTACATACATACATATATTACAAATAATCAGAACAAATTTTGGATAAACATTGCCAATGTGCTACACCTTTGCTGAGCGGTATTTAAGTAATTGATATTGAACTATCATAAGCTTCCTTTACTTGCACTTATATTGCACTCGCCCGCTAACTTATTAAAAGCTTTAATTCATTTTCGCCTTTGAAATATGATCATCAGCGACGCCATGAATTGCTTTGTCGGCACTTGTCGCACGAATTCGCAAGCTTGGGGAGGCTGTAGGTGGTTTAGCATTCGCAATTATACATACATATTACATACATACATATGTACATATGTACATTTGAGTATGTATGTACGCATTTAAGCGTGAATGCATGACTGATTGTCTTTAATTTTATTTAAAGTGAAAGTATGCACGAAGGCTTGTGTGCCTAGCCACCCCAACAATGGTTGCCATGCCTGCATTTGAGCTTTGGTTTGTTATGTTCACATCCGTACATATGTATGTATGTACATATGTACATATGTTTGTATAACTAGATGCCTTACAAGCCCGAGCATATGTACATGATTTGCACATTATTGTGTAAATATGTAAATGTATGAATGTCAATGTTTTAAACCCGATTAACGGTAACATAGTATGTAACTATTTGGAACAACCACAAACGTAAATTCGTATTGGTGGCTTCTCCAAGCGTTAGTGGCGGTACCGTTCTAAACCAGCCCCAAACATACGCTTAGCAAAATACACAAAACCTT